CTGGTTCCCCTGCCCCCCTCCCCCCCCTTCATGTACCTTGTGTACAGAGAGCGTTCACCATTAGGGTCGAAGACCTGTCCAACGAGACGACGACGAGCTTCTCAGCTGCACTTTCAAGACTAAAGAATGCACTTCACGTACTCATGGGATTTTTACTATGGACTTCACGATGAACTTGAACTCAGTGGTTTTGGTGTAAAAAAATCGAAGGGAATTGGAATTTCATTTTTGTGAAATTATCTTGTCTTGAAGTTCAGGGAAATGAAGAGAAAAAAAACCGCAAATTGATTTAGTGTTTATTTTATGATGTGTACGGTATTTGGAGAGCTGCATGGGTGGAGCAGGCCCCGGCCTTCATTTTGCCTGAAATGCTCTCATAAATGTTTCTTTAACAATTTTCTTCATGAATGAAATGACGAAATAACACAACTCCGTCATTAGATGCGAGCCAAAACCCCTGGATCATTATCGTCACGCACAGTTCCACAAAATAAACTCGAGAGGAACGAATATCCCGTCGATAAAGTGAAAAGAGAAGTGTGAATCGAACCAGTGGCGAACAAAAAATGGCAAAAATGTAGAATAAGCTCAGTGTGTCACGCTAACTCATTCCCTTTGTCGAAAAATAACTCTCCGGTAATTACAATCGAAAGCCGATGTGAAGTGCCGGGTATTAATCCCCCTGTCGCCTGTAAGGCCATTCTCTCATGATGTTTTATTATAGCTTCTTTTTCACTCGAGTGCATTCAAGGGATTTTAACGCAACTCGCGTGTACGAGATAAACGACCGGGGCGTCCCATTCGGATCGCGGTTGAGGTTCAATGGTAACAGCGTTACTTCACGTACAGAGATCAGGACTTCTTGTTTCCCTGGCTTCGCTCATTCCTCTTTATTCTTTCAATCCGTCTCAGTTGTTTCCACCGATATTCCAGTGCTGTCGTCACCAACATGCTTCTTCATCTTTGTATAAAACGCCCTCTCAGGCCGGGATGCTCTCGCCACTCGCAGAAGTTGCACCGCAGGCACGTTCCGAGAAATCCCAGCATCGTTGTTCCATTTGGAACGAACAATGAATCGTTCCGAACAATTTTTTTACAAATTGGACAATAAGAAAAACTTGAATGATTCAGGTTTTTTTCATTTTTCTCTTTCAGAGGGTTTTACAACATTTTTGTTATCATCCTTAGGCATTACTCCATTAAGTGGAGTTCCTGTTGTTGCGTTTGAGTGGAAACAGCTTCTTCAGTGCTTCACATTTCTCTTCCTGCACGCCAATATTTCAAAACTAAACTCTTCAGCGATGGAAAAAACCCAGCTGCATCAATCCTATCCGAAGACTCACGTCTTAAGAAATTCGACTGTCGTATTTTCATTTAGAATGAACAATGAACAACGTTCCCAGCAAATTTTTAAACTTGATGTTATTTTTTATTATTTAAATGTTGTTTTTACTGTTGTTGGGGTGCAACTGTTGAATTTGGAATTATCACTCATTTCTTTGGAGATCAGGTTCTGTGGGAGGATTAAATAATCTTCAATAGATTATTGTTTTTGGCGATGTTGAATAATTCGCGAAGTGGCGCATCTTTTACAAATTGCTCAATAAAAAAATTGAATACATCAGGATGATTGTGGTTCTGTTCGATATATCTCTAATCAACAAAAAGTTCTTTTCCAGGATCATACAATATTTTTCTCCATTAAATATAGTTCCTGCTGCTACATGTGAGCGCAAATCTCCTCCAGCTCTTCACACTTCCTTCTCCACACAAATAATTCAAACCTAAACTCCTCAACAATGAAAAAAACTCATCTGCATAAACCCTTTCCCCGAAATTGCCTCTTCACCGCAGAGTGAAAT